GAGAGAGAGAGAGACTGCAACATTGAACTGAAAGATAGCAATGTTTGTCAGGTTGGTGTAGGACTGGGCAATATTTCATTCTGTTATACATAAGGTCTTTATGAGTCCTATTCATCTCAACAGCACCTACAACACATACAGTGGAAACATGTGTTCAAAGTACAACAAACAAAGCAATGCGACTACTATGAGATCAATGGGAACATTGAGTAGTAAATAAAGAGATAGGAATGGTAACAAGCAGCCACGTCCCATGAAAGCTTGAAGACCATGTTAGAGCATTAATTTTAACTATGTGAAACTGGGAACCATTTCAGGATCTTGGGCAGAGCAGTGGCCTAACCTGTTGTGCATACCCAATTTGGTATCTCAGCAAGTTGTAGAGCATCAAGGAGTTTCAGTGCAAGGAGAGAAGGGTTTTTTGAACTATTTAGATGTGGGATGTAGGAAGTAGGCAGACAGTGAAGAAGAGGACTGGGATCTCCACTTCTTCATTTGGTAGATAAGCAGATGGCTCCTGTTATGATATGACTAAAGTTACTTATAAGACATTGAATCTGTCCACTCAGTCACTGCGATACAGATGCAAGAAGTGTTCTTGCAAAAAAAAAAAAAAAGAAGCGTTCTTGCCAGTTGCTAGGTTGGGCTCTGTATGTACCAAGGTATCAAAGTGGGAGTACAAGAGTCAGCAGTCACTGAGTAGGTGGCAAAGGAATTCATACCAATGGCTGCTGAGTGTTTCCATTAACTAGATGTGCCTGCACTAATTCTTTCATTTTGGAGTCACCAGGGGTACTAGGGCCATAGTTTGTCCTTCTACATCTTTTCCCTTTGCTCAAAATGTGCACTACCTATCTTCTCTAAATCTCTGATGGCTCAGTCTGTTTCATTTGCTCTAAAGGCACTCCCTTATGCTTTCTTGAGCTGAACTATTCCACTCCCATGCTTCCCTATTTTAGGATTGCCACCTCCCTGGCTACCTACTATTCTTTTCAGGACTGTTTGTACAGAATCTGTGCCATAAACTATGCATGCACTTATTTGTGATTGCTTTCATGAGTTATTACTCTGACTGTCCACCTTTCCCAATGTGATGTCTTTTTTCAAGCACTAGTCCCTCCTGACAATATGCCCAAAATATATGAGATGAAGTTTCACCATCCTTGCTTCTAAAAAGCATTCTGATTGTACTTCCTCTATTCTATAAGAGAAACAAAACTATTGAATATCATCCAACATTCATCAGTTAGATATCTTCACAAATGTACTTTTTACATTTATAGTTATGATGCTAATAAAAGTAAAAAGTGGGTAAACTTTCTCTTTATTCCTGACTGTGTGAAAAGAACTGACGCAAATGCAATTTCAATTGAGACGTGGATCCAAGGCTCATTCTCCCGCTTTTCCTTGTCACCAGACACTTTCATGGCAAGCATTCTCTCTCTGAATCATAAGCGTCCAGAGTTCTGGTTTCCCCCCACTGTGCTGGCATGCATCAATATGTCCCAGGCCACCTGAGACCATGTCTTCAGGGAGCAGCTGTAGACTCAGGAAACTGCACAACTTCTTGCACTTTTGACTGTTTGGCTTCTTCTCCCTCTTTCTCTCTCTTCCATCCCTTCTTCTATTATTTTTCTTCTTTGTAGTTCCCTGGGTCTAGCTCACAACCTAGAAGAACTGTATCTTTATCAGTTGCCTGTACAGACTTAATCCCCCTGCCACAAAGTGCTGAGTCTACACAAATCTACTTTATACTGTCAGTCCCTGCTGATTCCTTGCCCTAGTCGTTTTGTTGATTCTCTGTAAAACTCATAAAACCCATGGAGATCATTGCCTTTAATTACAATTACCCACTTATTTTGACTAGAAAAGATACAATAAGCATAGATTTCTCATGCATGATCTTGGAGAGTTCTAATCTAGTAGCTTTCATTCATCCCCTGACATGGTGCTCTTTTTCATGTGTAGATGTTCTCACTGATTCAATCAGTTCTAGAGAAAGTGTTCCAAATCCCCAAGCCTCCTAATCATGGAGACCTCAATAAATATGCATGCACGTAAGCTTCAATGCACTGTTGTGATGAATGCATTAAATGAGGGTGCACGATTGCACGTCTCCCTTCTCGCTTCTTGGAGTTAGTTTACTAGGTGTGGGGGAGTCTGTATAGTCCCGACTTTCACAGTTTATATTCTAATTGTTTGGTTATTTTAAGACTCTGTAGTCAAAGAGCATATTTAAAAAGTCAAAATACATCATCAAAATTCCCAATGACAGTAGCTTGACTTGTGCACTAGGAGCCTGGAATTCAATCTCTGAGGAAAGGTTTGTATATTGGTGGATTACTGGAGATGAAGAACTATGGGATATGAGGAAATCAGTATTATATGTGAAAGGAGTATAATTGTGATGAAGTTCCATTGAAGGCCTCAGGATACCTTACAGGTTGTTCTGAGTATTTCTACCACCTCAGCACCTGCCACTAGATACCTTGCCTGATTTTCAGTTACTAAGAGGCATTCCCAGAGGGAGTTCTGATGGCATGTTGTGAGTTGCATACTGTTGTGTCAGAACTAACCCATAGCTGACCCGCCAGTGGGTTCTCAGAATAAGTCACTTGGAAGAAGATTGGCCATTTTTCTCCCATAGAGCAGCTGGTAGACTTGAACTGCGTGCCTTTGGGTCAAAAGCACAACTCCTTACAACCAAACCACTAGAGCCTCTCTATGATAGTGGTTCTCAACTTGGAATTATTTTACCTTGTTGTATATTAGTCAGTGACTGCACGTTTTATAAAATTTATAAAACAGAAATTATAATCCAATATTTATTTTGGAGAACAGAATATATTATTTCAGTAAGACTGGAAACAAATTTTTTTCTCTTCTCTTTGTATTTTTCAAATGCAATTTTGCTGTTAGCCAAAAAGTCACACTTCTCTAGTGGTTCAAATCCCCAGTCATTGTGAGGGAGAAAGATGAGTGATTTCTTTTCCCCAAAGAAGGTTAAGCTATAAATTGAATCTACTTGACAGTAATTGAGAAGAGGTGGAATCGCCTATATATTCTTTCTTTCCAGTGGTTTTTCAGAGGCACTAAATCTCACAGGAGGAGATCGCCTTTCTCCAACGGAGTATCTGGTGAATTCCAGTCATGTGCCTTAGGGGTTGAAATGCAGCTTTCTACTTGAGTTAGGTGTCAATCTACTTAACATATTGCTAAATTAAGGAGTGACCTGATGTACAATAGCCTTGAAACCAGCTCTACCTTGTGCCAACTTTACTGTCTCTGACACTTCTTTACCACAGTCACTGAATCAATCCATCTCATTGATGGTCTCTCTCTCTTTCTCTGTCTCTCCAGCATTCCAACCATGATGTTCTTCTCCAAGGACTGCTCCCTCCTTGCAACATGTCCAATGTGTGTCAGACAAAGCTTCAGAATCCTTGCCTCCAAGGAGCAGCCTGGCTCCCCCTCTCCAGGACTAACTTATTTGTTCTCCTAGTAGTCCATGGTATATTCAACACTTTTCTCCAGCACCACAGCTCAAAGGCATTAATTCTCCTTCTATCATCTCTAGTCATTTTCAAACTTTCTGATGCATAGTTAGTAATTACGAAGACCATGGCCTAGATCAGGAACACCTTAGTCTTCAGACTAACATTGTTACTCTTCAGTACTCTAAAGAGGTCCCTGACAGCAGACTTTCCCAATGTAATTCATCTTTTTATTTCCTGGATGCTGTTACCAAGACTTTTGATTGTGGAGCCAAGCAAACTGAAGCTGTTAATAATCTCAATCTCTTCACTATCATGATGCTGCCAATCAGCCCAGTGGTGAAAATCTTTGTTTACTTGATGTTGAGCTTCAATTCATATTGAAGACTATAGTCCTTGACCTTCTGCAGCAAGAGCTTGGGGTCTTCCTCGGTGTCAGCAGGGAAGGTTGTGTCATCTACATAACACAGGTTGTCGATGAGTCTTCCTGAAGTCCTGATGATCTGTTCCACATATAGATTGTAAAAGTATGGAGATAGAACACATCCTTGGTGTGCACCCTTTCTGATTCTGAACCATTTAGTGTTTCCTTGCTCTATTCTGATGACTGTCTCATGGTTCTAAGTACAGGTTTCACATAACACAAATGTTCTGGGATTCCCATTCTTCTCAGAGTCAACCACAGTTTGTTGTGATTCACACAGTCAAATGCCTTTGCATAGTCAATGAAACACAGATAGACATTCCTCTGGTACTCTTTGCTTTCAGCCAAGATTCATCTAACATTAGCTATAATACCCTTAGTACCATGACCTCTTCTAAACCCAGACTGCACATCTGGCAGTTCTCTTTTGATGTGTTGTTCCAGTTGTAGAGGTGCTAGAATATTCTATAAATTTTAGATATGAGTCCCTTATCAGATATATCATTAACAAACAGGATTTTTTCTGAGTCTGTGGCTTTCCTTTTTAACCCGTTGGAGAAGTTTTTTTATGTGTATAAGGATTTGATTCTTAGAAGGTCCTATTTATCTGTTTTGTTCTCTCCTGGTTGTAGGGTTTTCATTATGCTTTGAAGACTGTCCATACTGTGGATTAGGGCTTTGGAGTTCTTCCAATAATATCTATAATGAAATTTGTATTCTTTGATTTTACTCCTAGATCTTGGATCCATCTTGCATTGGTTTTTGTATATAGTGCCAGGTATGGGTCTTAAGTTTTTTACAGATGGTTTTAAAATTTTTCAACACTATTTATTAAAAAGGTTATTGTCTCCCTACTTAACTGATTTCATCTCCTTGTCAAAAATCCATTGAGCATAGGTAGATGAGCTGATTTCTGGGTTCTCAATTCTAGTCCATCAGTCTATGTGTCTGTCACTATACCAGTATCATGCTGTCTTGTCCACCACAGCTGTGTAATAATTTTAAATCAGGGAGTGTGATACATCCTACCTGGTTTCTCTTTTTCAGGAGTGTCTTATTTATTTGAGGTCTCTTTCTAAGGAATGGGTACTGAACTTCAAACAGATTTGCTTCTTAAACAGGAAATGATGTTAAAGTAAGATACAAATTCATTTTAAATAATTGAAACCATTAAAAGGAGATTTTAATTTTACTTGGAAAGACTCACTGGCTGATGTTGTAAATCTGGTAGGCGATGATGATGCAAGTTTTTTTTTTCAACCAAGATGATGATATTCAAGTGATATACTTAATGACAAGTAATACATGCTGGTCCTTGGGAGTGACTGAAATTCAAAGAATGTATCCAAGTAGGTTGAATGTTCTACACTTTGAGCATGACTCAGAAAGTGCCAGTGAAAGTTCTTGTATGGATATATAAAACTTCACAGGTGATAACACTTGCCAGTGAGAATGTTCCTGCTCCCAACACACTGACCTGGATTGACAGGTGCTGCATGTTCTCTTCTTCATCTGTCTGGTTCATCATGTGGATGAGAGTACTTCTGAGTGTTTTTCTCTTTCGTCTATCTTTTTCTCAAGTGTAAGTGATCACAAAGAGCTTTACTATTATACGTGGAAACCAAATATCTGGGTATAAAGAATTTATAGCTTATTTAACTTGTTGTTACAGTGATTGGACTTTAGATTATGTTATGTTTCATAATATGCTCCAAAATATTTTTATTCTTAAAAAAGCCAAACTTAAATGCTACCTTCATCTCAGCCCAGCAGATATCTAGATTGATAGTTGAGTTGTAATAATGTTATACTTAATGCTGAGGAAGAGATATCAACTTGACAGTGGGGAAGGATGCGGAAAAAAACTAACAGAGAAACATAAAATAGAACGTGCAGCTTCAATTCAAGGGCAAAGCTTTATGTGAGGACACTGATGATACCTGATCTAGAAATCATGGCTTAAGTGAATTAATACTTTGTAATTGAGATTGTTCCCCCTTTTCAAAATTCAATTTAAAGGCAAACCTCTTTTTGTTTCATACAGGTTATATCCCAGACTTTGACTTCTGCTGTATTTTTAAGTTTTTAAAATGCTTTTTCCTTTAAAAATGTAAGGGGGAAAATTGCTAAATAAGCCAACATTTCTTTAGCAAGCATTTTCACTTTTTATGTTCTATCAAACTTCATTTTTGTAGGCAGTATGTCCTGTTGGTCCCTTCTGTTATGCAAGAAGTCTCTTTGGACAAAGTATGTGCCCAGCTTTTTAATCTTACTGAAACTGTTCTTTTGACTGTCTCTATCAACTATGCTGAGGACCAGACCAAAATACTTGAAGAGCCTGTTACAGGAGAAAATTTCTTCAAATGCATCAACTTTGTGGTAAAATATTTCATTCTGCTTTTTATAAAGAGAATATTGTATATTCTTGACTTTCTAGGGACCAAGATTGGACTATTGTTTGCTATGTGTTAACTTGTTTTATTCATTTTCAAAAGGACCATGTACCCAGCAGTTTGTGATTAAGTATATATAGTCTTTTGGAGTCATCATAGGATGAACCATTTGATTCTATGACAGAAATTTGTTGAAAGGAGTTAGGTGTATAAAAAAAGACACCTAATAGTTTCAGCTTGCTCGACTCTACAATCAACGCTTTTGGCACCAGTAGTCAGGAAATCAAAAGGTGAATTGCATTAGGTATATCTGCTGTCAGGGACCTCTTCAGAGTGCTAAAAAGCAAAGATGTCAGTCTAGAGACTAAGGTGCAAACTGATCAAGGCCATGGTCTTCACAGTTAGTTGCTGTGCATCAGAGAGTTGGATAATGACTAAGGAGAATAGAAGAATTGATGCCTTTGAGTTATGGTGCTGGAAAAGAGTCTTGAACATACACCATGGACTTTCAACAAAACAAGTCTGTCTTGGAGAGGGTGAAACCATATTTCTTTTTGAAGGCTAAGATTTTGAAGCTCTATCTCACATACTTTGGGCTTGTGGCCAGTAGGAACCAATCCTTGGGAAAGGATCATCCTTAGAAGGGTGGAAGGACAGCACAATAGAGGAAGACTCTGGATAAGATGGATTGATATAGTAATTAGGGCAATGAGGGTAGGTCTATCAGAGTCAGTGGAACTGGCTTAGGATAGGACAGGCTTGACCACATATAACAACATCAACAACATTCACAAAAGGAAAAGTTTAAGAAAAGGGAAAGATATTTGGTTAAAAAGAATAATAAAGTAACGAATAAAGGGAAACAGGTTTGTTATTCCAGAAACAAAGATAATAACATTGAAACCTTCAGCAAAGTTAGCATACAGTTAATAGTAAGGCTTTCTTGACAAAAAAGTAGCCTCTCAAAGCATTTCAATGTGTTCCATAGGTTCCTAAGGCCAGAGCTGACCCACTGGCTTTCATTACATTCTCTGCTAAAGGAACTACCCTTGATATGCAAGAGAGAAGATCTGTGGCGATCCAGCCCAATGAAAATGCAATCATTGTACAGACAGATAGACAGATTTACAAACCTGGACAGATGGGTAAGTATACCTAAACTACATAACCCTCAGCTGGTATCATTTATTGTCCTGGAGAAGATGAAACCAAGTTGCTCCTTGGAGGCAAAGACTTTTAAGCTCTCTATCACTTGACCAATTCTTAGAGAAGAATATCATGCTTGGAAGGGTGGATAGTCAGTGTAGGAAAGGAAGGCTGGATAAGATGGATTGACACAGTGACTGTAGCAATGGGGTCAAGCATATCAGAGATGGTGAAGTTGGCTCCCGATAGTGCAAGCGTCAGAGCTGTTGTTATGAGTGTCAGAGCTGTTGTTATGAGTCTTAGCATATTAACTCAATAGAATACAGCAACAATAATTTAAAGAACATTTAAACAAATGAAATACAGTACAAGTTTAGCCATTTAAATTTAGAAATAAGACCAAATATTCAGATTACACAGTCTCAAGCCCAGAGATTAAATTTCATTGTCTGAGGAATAGGAAACTTTGAAAAATAGTATTTGTAAATAACTCCCAGGTAAGTGAGTTTATTGCTATTTACTAAGTTTTAGTTCATGAATGTATATGAGCTTATAGTTGAATTAGAGGTAAAAGTGTGAAAAAGGTATCAAGATATTAAGAGATAACTCCAAGTGATTAGAGAATGTCTTGTGAGGGAATAACCAGCAGGTATGGCAATGAAGGAAGGAGAAAAGCCTTATCTCATTTACTGGGCTGGGAGGTAAGGGATGAGTTTAAGTTACTATAGTCAAAAGAAAGGCATTCTTGAACAAAGCTGTAGAATTAATTTAAAATCTATGTCTTAAGGTGTTTGACTGTGTGGATCCCAACAAACTATGGCTAACTCTGAGAAGAATGGGAATCCCAGAACACTTGACTATGCTAATGTGAAACCTATACTTGGACCAGGAGGCAGTCATCAGAACAGAGGAAGGAAACATTGCATGGTTCATTATTGGGAAGGGTGTACAGCAGGGATGTGTCCTATCTCCATACCTTTTCAATCTATATGCAGAACAGATTATCCGGGAGACTGGGCTGTGTGAGGAGAAGTGTGGCATGAGGACTGGAGGTAGATTCATCAACAATCTGCATTATGCAGATAACACAACCCTTCTTGATGAAACTGAGGAGGACCTGAAGCACTTGCTGCAGAGGGTCAAGGACATCAATATGGATTGAGGTTCAATATCAAGAAGACAAAGATTCTTACCACTGGGTCAATTGGCAGCATCAGGATGAATGGTGAAAAGATTGAGATTGTTCACAGCTTTAGTTTGCTTGTCTCCACAGTCAACACTCTTGGCACCAGCAGCCAAGAAATTAAAAGAGATATTGCAGTGGGAATCTGCTGTTAGGGACCTCTCCAAAGTACTGAAGAACAATGGTGTTACTCTGGAGGCGAAGGTGTGCCTGAGATAAGCCATGGTCTTTGCAATCATTTGTTATGTGTCAGAGAGCTGGACAATGACTAGGTAGGATAGAAGGAGAATTGATGCCTTTGAGCTGTGGTGTTGCAGAAGAGTACTGAATACACCATATACTGCTAAGGAAATGAACAGGTTCATCCTTGAGAAGGTTAAACTAGGCTGCTCCTTGGAGGCAAGGATTCTGAAGCTTCATCTGACATACTTTGGACGTATTGCAAGGCGAGACCAGTCCTTGGACAGGGATGTCATGCTTGGGAGGGTCAGGGCAGGAGAGGAAGAGCCTCTATGAGGTGAATTGATTCAGTGACTGGGGTAATCAAGATAGATATGTTGGAGACACTGATATTGCCCTAGGACAGAGCAGGGTTAAGGGTTGTTGTACATAGGGTCACTATGATTTGTAGGTGACTCAATAGCACATAACAACAACAACATGCCTTAAAATGAGAAATGGTTATTTGGAGCAAAGAAATACATGAAAGGTAGAAAAGCAAATTAAAATGAATACGATAGTCAAGTAGAACCTGATTATGGAGATGATGAACATTTTTATGAAATTCAATAACATCTACCAGGAGTCACTTTAGACTTAGGGAATTATACCAGGGTGAAAGCAGTCTGAGGAAAATTATATGGAAATCAGAGTGTTGTTGAAAACAAGCCAGAAACCCATTAACTTGGTGGTTCTTTGCAATATTTTTGGTAAGTAGTGCAACCTGTATGCAGAACAGGTTATCCGAGAGGCTGGGATCTATGAGGAGAAGTGTGGTGTCAGGACTGGTGGAAGATCTATTAATAATCTGCGTTATGCAGATGACACAACCCTGCTTGCTGAAACTGAGGAGGACCTGAAATGCTTGCTGCAGAGGGTCAAGGACTGCAGCCTTCAGTATGGATTGATGCTCACTGTCAAGAAGACAAAGATTCTCACCACTGGACCAATTGGCAGCATCAGGATGGATGGTGAAGAGATTGAGATTGTTAACAACTTTAGTCGGCTTGGCTCCACGGTCAACACTCTTGGCACCAGTAGCCAGGAAATTAAAAAAATATATTGCGATGGGAAAGTCTGCTGTTAGTGACCTCTCCAGCGTACTGAAGAATAATGTTATCACTCTGGAGACTAAGGTGCGTCTGATAGAGGCCATGGTCTTTGCAATCACTTGTTATACATCAGAGAATTGGACAATGACTAAGGAGGATAGGAGAATTGATGCCTTTGAGCTGTGATGTTGGAGAAGAGTATTGAGGGTACCATGGACTGCCAAGAAAACAAACAGATTCATCCTGGAGAGGGTTAAACCAGTCTGCTCCTTGGAGGCAAGGATTCTGGGGCTTCATCTGACATACTTTGGACATGTTGTAAGGAGAGACCAGACCTTGGAGAGGGATATCATGCTTGGGAAGGTGGAGGGACGACGTAAGAGGGGGAAACCCACTATGAGGTGGATTGATTCAGTGACTGGGGTAATTGGGATGGGTGTGTCAGAGGCAGTGCAATTGGAACAAGATAGAGCAGGGTTTAGGGCTGTTGTACAGCGTCGCCATGAGTCTCAAGTGACTCGACGGCACATAACAACAACAACAGTGCAAAAGATTTGGACAAGTATAAACTAGTAACAACAAAAATCAAACACACTGCTGTTGATTCAAGTGCAACAAAGGAGAGCTTCCCAGGAGGTTTCTAAAGCTGTGTGTCTTTGTAGAAGAGGAAAACCTCATCTTCTTTCCGTGGTGTGGCTGTTGGTTTCACAAGTTCAACCTTTTGGTTCGCAGTCAAGCACTTTAACTACTACATCATGGGTTCGTGAAAACTATGAAGGAAATTTTGAGAGGAAAAAATTTACTCTTTCTGTACCCTTCCTAAAAGTATCTTTTGAAAAGAAGAAAATAATACTTCATTCCTCTTGAAAAAGATTGACAAGAACAATATTTTTTTTCATTCTACTTGTTGTTCTAGTCACAGATTCCTAGCAATGCATACATTTTTTTAAAAGTCTGTCTAGCTAGCATATTCAAGTTTTTAACATATACACAAAATGATATATGACTATAAATTTTACTTTTGACATATGTCATTAAAATATTCCAAACATGCAAGCATTTAAAGTTTGTTAAATGCATACTAGCAGAACTACTTTCACAGAAATACATTTATCAATTTATTTCTCTGTTTAAACTGAAAATGTTTTTCATATATACACAACATCTTCAGAGCATCTTTGGCTAACTGAGAGAATATTCAGAAGAATAACTTACCAGTGAGTGTTTCCTGGGCCATGCTTAAGGACCCTGAGTGGTATAGTACATAACAATGTTAGATTGCTAGTTGAAGGGCTCTCAATTTGAATCCATCTTCTGTTCCAAGAAAAAAAAATTACAGCCCATATGTTAATCCCGTAAAGATTTACAGCCTTAAAAATGATGGAGGGTCACTATGAGTCTGAATTTATCTGATAAAACTAAATTTTGGTTTGGACACTCATTTGCTCTTCTTCAATTTTTCTTGTGGGTTCTGAATGAGAACGTATATTTGAGAAAGATAGTGATCATTTTTAAAAAGCTATTTATCTTTTTTAGTTATAATTAAAGATGATAGAAATTATAACTATTTCCATAAATTTTTTTTCACCTAAATCCACCAGATGCTCTGTGTGAGAACGATGGGCAATCTGCTCCTGTGTGATCTGCTCCCTCTGAAAAACAGCTGGAGGGTTAGCCGTGAGTTGATTCTGACTTGATGGTACATAGAAAGCAATAAAACAATCTGACAAAGGCTTGAGAAGATACAAACAATGGTCCTCAAACATCTATGAGTAAAAATAATTCCTTCAAAATCTTGGTAAAAGTCCAAATTACTCTTAGGGTGAGCACCAAGAAACTATTTCTTTTTTAAAGAATTTTCATAGATCATTCTGATGCTGATGTTCAGCAGATATATTTTGAGCAACCTTGATTCCTGATATAAAGAAGAAAAGGAAGAAGAAGAATAAGAGGAAGAGGAGGAGGAGGAGGAGGAGAAGGGGAAAAGGGGGGAGGAGGAGGAAAAAAAGGAGGAAGAAGAGGGAAAAAAAGGAGGAGGAGGAGGAGGAAAAAGAGGCGTTTTGCACACTGACTTTCTAGATAATGCTTATTCAGTGAAGCAGGCACTGGCTAGTTAGGGATTTACTTAATTAGAGACTCTTGGGCATGAACATGCTGTGATTTCAGAACACCACAAACTGAAGGAGACGACAAAGATGTGCAATAGTTGAAGATAATGAACTGTATACACATTTCTGTCCCACACCCTTTTAATCATCTATCCCCCATCCTTTATCTTACTCTATTACTTCAGGAAAGTTATGAAAGTAGACATTCAGGCACGTAGTGTGGTACCAGAGTGGAACTGAAAGACTGGACAAGAGAACCAAGGCATGCACAGCTCATTTCTAAGTCTGGGGTCAGGATCAACAACTGCTGAACAATTCTAAACTCATGTGCTTGGAGTCGGAACACTCAGAAAGAGGAGGATTTGATACAATTGACACAGAAAAATGGTCAAGTTTACCAACATTAATCTGCAATAAGTACCAAGTCTTATATGGCA